AATTTTACTAAATTTTATAAAAATATGGTAAAATTTACTTAATACTGAAATTTATTTTCAAAACAGTAAAAATTTGTTACCAATTCCAATTTTACTGAAATTTACTGCGCGAAACAAGTTAAAACTCGAAAATTTTTCATAAACTTTTTGCATTTCCTACGAAGTACCTATAGTAACATGTACTAAAATTTATTTTTAAAATAGTAAAATTTTTGCTAATTAAAATTTTATTTACATTTTTTTACGGAAATAGCAAAATTTACCAATTTTTTCATATTATTAAAATTTACTGACGCAAATAGTAAAATTTTCTCCGGAATAAATTAGCAAAAAATCATCAATGAAAGTCGCAAAACATTCAGAAAATTTTTTTATTTTACCACTATGGTAGTCAAATTTACTCTACACTTAAAACTATTTTGAAAATAGTAAAATATAAAATTTGTATAAATTCATAAAAATAAATTCATAATAGTAAAATTATAGTAAAATTTACTAATTTTCTTGTTTTATTATAAAAGTATAGTAAAATTTACTGATAGTAAAATTATAGTAAAATTTACTAATTTTCTTGTTTTATTATAAAAGTATAGTAAAATTTACTTTGAAAATAGTTTTTCTACTAAGCATACAGTAAAATTTACTTTACACTAAAAATTATTTTGAAAAAAGTAAAATTTGTACTAATTCAAATTTTATTGAAATTTATTTCCTGAAATAGTAAAATTTACTAAATTTCTTGTTTTACTATAAAAGTATAGTAAAATTTACTAAATTTCTTGTTTTAGTATAAAAGTATAGTAAAATTTACTAAATTTATTATTTTACTATAAAAGTATAGTAAAATTCACTTCGAAAGTAATAAATTTAGTACTAATTCCAATTTTTTGAAAATTTGCTTATGCAAATATCAAAATTCATTTTTGAAATAGTAAAAATTACCAATAAAATGGGCAAAAACTCCAGAAAAATTTTTATTTTACTTTAAAAATAAAGGAAAATTCACTTCACAGTGAAATTTATTTTAAAAATTGTAAAATTTGCAACAATTCCAATTTTTTAAATTCACTTACGGAAATAGTAAAAACTTTACTACAGAAATAGTAAAAATTGTAAAAAAAAATGGTCACTTCTCAAAACTTTTTCCATTTACATACAAAAGTATAGCAAAATTTGTACTAATTCAAATTTTATTGTAATTTATTTCACGAAATAGTAAAATTTACATTATATTAAAATTTATTTTGAAAATAGAAAAATTTGTACTAATTCAAATTTTATTGAAATTTATTCCTGTGTGGTTCCTTGAAGTGGTAAAGTTTACAAATTTTCTTGTCTCACTATACAAGTATAGTAAAATTTACTTTACTCTGAAATTTACCTTGAAAAAAGCAGAATTCGTATGAATTTCAAATTTATTAAAATTTACTTATGCAAATAGAAATAGTTTACTTTGGAAATAGTAAAAATCGACAATAAAAATGCGTAGAACATTCAGAAAAACTTTTTCCTCTTTCTACAAAAATATAGTAACATTTACTCTACTTAAATTTTCTTCCAATAAAATGAGCAATTTATTCTAAGAAATTCTTTGGCTTTAGAAAATTTTCTAAAGAAAATAATTTTCCACAAATATACTTCCATTTTATAAACGAAGGGAAAAACAAAAATTTTTATTCCTAAAAAAATGAGATTTTCAATTGAAGAAAAAAAAAAAGGGAGAAAAATTCCCTTTTGAGAGAATTAATTATCCGTCTATGTAAGATTCATGAATCAAGATGAAATAAACGAGGTAGCTGGCGAAAATGATGAAAGGGTTAAAAGAGATGTGAGTCGAAGGAGGTTTATAGTGAAAAGGTGGTAGCAGCAGCAGAGCAGCAGCAACAGCAGCAGCGGCAGGTATCTGTGTTATAGTATGTGCACTTAAGCACATGGCTCTTACAAGCTTTCATGAGGGGAGAAAGGGGTGGAAAGAGCGACGGCAAAGAGCAAAAGCAAGACTAAAGGCGACGTCGTTAAAAGCGATAAAGCGATCCACAGGGCAGTAATTCACATGGTGACTCGTACTTCTGTGGCCTACGGGTCTTGGCCCCGTGATGCATGACTGCCTAACCCAACGGCAATTAGTTCCGAGCGACAAATAGATATGCTCAATCTAATACACACTTACACTTTTCTTCGGGAATTTAACCCCAAAAATAAACACACTTCCAACTTTTCGCAATTATTTTTTTTACAAAAAGAAATTTTCCCCAAAAGACATTTTTTTTTTATTTTTTATTCTTATTTTAATTTTTTGTTATATTTATATTTATATTTTATTATTTTCTAATAAAAGGCCTTATGCCTAATTATCTATTCAGTGCTTTTATTAAAAAATAATTAAAAAACGGTTTTAACAAAAAGCAAATATTTTTATTTCACTATTTATTAAAATAAAAACAAGCTGTGTTCTTTCGTACATTTGTTTTTTTTAAATAAAAATAAATAATTTTTTTCTTGAATAAAAACACTCTGATTATATATTACCAAAATGTTACGTAAATTACCGTACTTTAAATGTTTAAAAATTACAAAATAAACATAAGTAATATTTATAAATTACAAAATACTTCCTCTATGAGGAAGTAATAAACATTAGTAATGTTTATTAATTTTGTGATAATTAATTATTTCCTATTAAAAAATTTTGTAACTTAATTACCACCACAATTAATTAATTAATTTTCAAGAAATAAGAAATTTATTTCTCACAAATTATTAAATTTCCATAAATCATTAACATCATTAGCAAAAATTACTAAATTAATTTCTACAAATTACCAAAATAATTTCTCAAAAATAACGACATTAATTTCTACAAAATAGCAAAAAATAATTACTAAATTAATTTAAGGAAATAAATTCTCCCGAATTATTAAATTAATTGACATATATTACTAAATTTCTTTACATCATTAAATAAATTAGGATAAATTACTAAATTAACAAAAATTATCATCAATTACTGAATTGCTTTTAGCAAATTACTAAAATAAATTACACAAATTATTATATAAAATATACCAAAAATCTTAAATTAATCCCTAAAATTACTTAATTAATTTCCACAATTATTAAATTGATTTACACAATTCTTTAAAATAAATTTACAAAAAAATTATAAATAATTCCTAAAATAACTAAATTAATTTACGCAATATACTAAATAAATTCCCTAAATTAAGTTACACAATTTTTAAATAAAATTTACAAAAAATCTTAAATAATTCCTAAAATAACTAAATTCCAGAAATTACCAAATTACTAAATTGATTTATACAATTTTCTAAATAAATTTACAAAAAAACATAAATAATCCCCAGGAATTTTACTAAATTAATTTCTAAAAGTTGTAAATTAATTTACACAAAACACTAAATTAATTTCTCAAATTACTAAATTAGTAAATTGAATTACACAGTTTTTGAAATAAATTTACAAAAAATTCTACATAATTTCTAAAATAAATTAATTAATTTACACGAAATACTAAATGAATTTCCTAAATTAAATTAGACAATTTTTTAAATAAATTTACAGAAAATCTTAAATAATTCCTAAAATAATTAAATTAATTTCTAAAAGTGCTAAATTTCCGAAAGTACTAAAGTACTAAATTAAATCAGAGAGTTTTCTAAATAAATTTACAGATTATCTTAAATAATTCCAGGAATTTTACTAAATTAATTTCTAAAAGTACTAAATTTATTTTTAAAAGTACTAAATTAATTTACACAAAACACGAAATGAATTTCCCAAATTACTAAATTAGTAAATTGAATTACACAGTTTTCGAAATAAATTTACAAAAAATCCTATATAATTTCAAAAATAACTAAATTAATTTACGCAAAATACTAAATAAATTCCCTAAATTAAATTACACAATTTTCAAAATAAATTTATAGAAAATCTAAAATAATTCCTAAATAATTAAATTAGTTTATAAAAATACTAAATTCCCGAAATTACCAAATTAGTTACTTAATTGATTTATACTTACAATTTTCTAAATAAATTTACAGAAAATCCTAAATAATTCCTAAACTAAATTAATTTCTAAAACTACTAATCTAATTTAGGCAAAATACTAAATTAATTTCCACAATTTTGAAATTAATATCGACAATTACTAAATTAATTTACCCAAAATCCTAAATGATTTTCCGAAATTACTAAATTAATTACTAAAATATAACAATATTAACTCCTAGAAATTATTAAATTAATTAGCAAAAATGATTAAATTAATAAATTTTAATAATTTAGAGAATCAATTTCCATAAATTGAAGAAAAAATTGCCAATAAACTACCACAGAAATTTCCCACATATTAGCGCGTTTTCCGCAATAACATTTCTGAATTATAAATTTACATAACCAATTATCACTGAATTACTAAAATTACCATAAATTACCACACAATTCACCACTAACTTTACATTCCCACAAATCTTATAATTTTCCATAAATTTCCAAAATTGACAAAAATTACTCGAATAAATTCCCAAAAATGTGCAGTACAATTTTATCAATACATGAAAATATTCCATAAAACTTTAATGGAACCAAATTTATTTCCTATTTCAAGAAAATCAGAAATTAAATTTTATCACAGAACAATTTTAACCTATTTTAACAAAATCAGAGATAAAATTAAATTTAAAAAAAAATAATTCTACGAAAATAAGAACTGAACGCTAGTGAAATAAAAAAAAAATACTACCACAATAAAATTAATCTTAACGATACAAAAAAAAAGGTTTCTTCGAAAATTTAGAAATTAATCGAGACTATAATCTCCACTCATATAATAATTTATTTGAAATTCCAATTTCAATTGTTGTATGTATATAGAGACATGAAACATTATTATCATTATTATTATCGAACTTGAAATTCGACATTGCCGTTACCCACTCTCCTGGAAAATGGAAACTAACTCAATAGGCACGCACGTAGCGGCTCATCCGAATTATTTCATAAACGGGTCGTCATTGTCATAGTACGCTTTATGTCACTTCGACTAGCGCACGGAACGTTCAATTAAAGCATCGTCGCGTATTTGCGTATGCTATCTGCGTTGCACACAGACACATTCACAATATAATTACATCGAAACAAGAACGCGCGCGTTTCAGTTTGTTCCTTGTCTCTTGGGGGAAAAAGTCTCGTGTCCGCAGTTTAATAGTCGTGTGTTTGTTTGCGCCGAGAAACTTTTCTAATAGACGTTCAAAAAAAAATCATTCTTTTCTCTAATTTTCATTTTCTTAAAAAAAAAAATGTGGCAATTCACATTTTTTGCTCTATTAATAATTGTAATTGGTGGAGAATGCGTTGTTCCTGAAGTTCATACAAAATTTGGACAAATTCAGGGACAATATGAACAAATCGATTATAATAATCAGAATAAATTTATCACATCATATTTGGGTATACCATTTGCAGAACCTCCTGTGGGTAAATTAAGATTGAAGGTGAGAAATAATATTTCAATTTGTAAATAATGATAATAAAAATAAAATAATAAAGCAAATCAAAAAAATTACTAATAAAAATAAAATAATAAAGCAAAAAAAAAAACTACTAATATTTCGTTTTTAATTGTTTTTATTATTTTTTTTATTTTTGTAGAGTAATTTTTAATAATATTTAAGCTGAAAAAAGTTCAGTTCATAATTTCATATAAATATTCAGAACTTTAGGAAAATTTAATTCATTTATTCTTTCTTAATATAATTTCATTCAAATCGTATTTTTTTGAAAAAAAATTAAATTTCACACTTAAAAAATTATTAATAAAAAATTCTCAAATTTCATATGAAAAAATTTGAACTTTTGTAAAATTATTGATTTTCACGATAAAATAACTATTCATTTTCTCGATTAAATAATAATTGATGAAAAATCAATTTTTTTTCCAGAATCCTGTGAAGTGGACGAAAAATTACACATCAATTTTAACTGCTACTAAAAATAAGCCATTCTGTGTTCAAATCGATTATAATGGTGTAGTGACTGGAGAGGAAGATTGCCTTTATCTGAATATTTTTGTCCCTACAGTGAGTTAATTAAATTTACATTTCTTTTACACACGTTCAAATGACTTATCTCATAATGTGACGTATTTATCTCTCTGTTATGACTACACGATTAAATTTTCATCTCATTTTTTTTTACATCCTCAAAATACTAAATATATATTTATTTTTCTCATTTTTTCTTCTATACATTCTATTTTATTTCAAGGAAATTTCAAATAAACGAAAAGCAATTTTAAATAATTATCAAAAGTTAAAAAAAAATTTTTTTTTTTTGGGTAAAAATAGAAATGACGAAAGGCGCCTAAAAATCTAGTTACTTCACTGAAAAAAGTAATACAGGTTTTTTTCATTACATTGTATTCATTAAAAAACATCTTGTTAATGTTATAATAATGCCATTTATACACGAAAAAAAAATAAAAATAAACCGGTTGAGTAAATGAAATGTTCACCTTGCACGTGTAAAAGAAGCGTTTCTAGAAATAAAATAATCAATTAAGAGAGAAATATTAAGAAAAAAGAAGGAAAAAAAAATGTCTGAATAAAAGTAAGATAACTGAACTTTTTTTTTTTCTTTCTAATGTAAACAATTTTATATGTACAATTTAACATTTGTGATTTACAATCAAACGAGATATTGTTTTACTCATACATTTTATTATCTTAATTTTTATTCGCTTTTCGTCTAAATGATATTTTTACAATTGTTTGCTTTAAGAACTGAATCATCAAAAACTGAGAGAAAAAAAAAAGAATTCTTCATTTACTTTTATGATTCAAAATTTTGAAATATAATAATAAGAAGAAAAGGAATTATTGACTATGATTTACTGTCTATTTCAGACGAGAAAAAGTAATTAAATTTTTTGTACTATTACCGAAATATTAATTATAAATTGTTAAACAGTAAAAAATTTACGATAAATAATAAAACAAACGAATAAAAAATTAAATAGAAAAAATATTTCTTGTATACCTAGATTTTTACAGAAAATTAGTTTTCAAATTTTTTAAAGAAAATTAGTTTTCATATTTTTAAGAGAAAATTAATTTTCAAATTCAATTTACAACTATTAAAAGAAAAAAGAAAAAATTAAGAAATTTAAATTAAAGTTTAATTTCTAATTTAAAAACTGATAAAATTAAAGTTTTGAATCAACAATATTCGCTATTAAACAAATTTTTTTTTTAAGTTGCAAATATTTTAATTATATTGTTGTCTTCTTATTTTTTATTTTCTATTAATTTTTTATTAACCATATAATTAATTCTTAACTATAATAAAAAGAAATACCGTAACTGTAATAAAAGAATTATATAAATAAATAAAATAAATATTTAATTTTAAAGAAAATAAAAATTTATGCGAAAAAAAATTGAATTCTTTTTAAATTCCAATCGAAATAAAAACTGTTATTCCAACTTGTTAAACAAGTGATTCAAGACTATTTATAGAATGTATTCTAAAATTTATAATACAGAAAAAAAAAGAATTTCGAACTTATAGGAAAAATATTTTTTAATCTCTAGACAATGGAAAAATTAATAAATTACGAATTAATTAATTAAAAATTAATAAATTACATTTCTTTTGATAATAGAAAACGAAATAATATTATTAATATTTAACAGACAAATGCAAAGCCAAATACTACGTATCCTGTAATGGTATTCATCAGAGGCGGTAGTTTTAATATGGGAAATACAATTAGCGATGATTTCTCACCTAAATATCTTCTGCATAATGATGTCATTCTCGTCACCTTCAATTATCGACTCAACTTTTTAGGTACATATATAAATAATTATTGTTGTCTTACCTGCAACAAAAAAAGAAAACAAAATTATTAAAATAATTAAAATTTACAAAATTAATAACTTAATTTTTTAAATAATTAATCCCAATGAATATTTTAATTTAGTTAACTAAGTTATTAATTACAACGAATTAGTTAATTGTCAATTAATTTAATTAATTGAGTATTTAATTTTTAATTAATTGAGTAATTAATTTTTAATTAATTGAGTAATTAATTTTTAATTAATTTTTAATTAATTAAGTAATTAATTTGAAAAAAGATGAAATGAAATTATTATAATTAATTTCAATATACAAAAAATTTGAAAAGAAAATTGTCTTAAAAAAAATTCTTTCGGACCACCTCCGAAAAAATAGGATTTTACAGTACCGGAAATGAGACTGCAGTGGGAAATTATGGATTAAAAGACATGGTGACAGTTTTAAAGTGGGTACAGGAAAATATAAAGGATTTTTATGGTAAACCTGATTCTGTAACACTATTCGGCAATAGCGCTGGAGCAGCGGCTATTCATCACTTAGCACTTTCAAAAAAGACAAAAGGACTGTTTCATAAAATAATTACAATGAGTGGCACTGCCTTAGCACCATGGGCCTATCATAGCGCAGAAAACATTAAAAATTCTTCACTAACTCTTGCGAATTACGCTGGCTGTTACAACCGTAAATATATTACCATTATCATAATTTTTAAATATAAAAATTTTTATATAATTTTATATAAATTTTTAATAAAAAATAATTTATTTTTCATTATAATTAGATCATTTAATTCTTAATTATATTAGTAATAACTACAATTAACTCGTTTAGAAGTGTAACGAAAGAGAGGGGATCGTAAGTTTAGGAGTGGGGTCAATGAGCGTGAGAGAGAAGTCCCGGAGTTTCTCTCTCGCTCCCATACCCCCTCTCTCCCTCAGCGCTTGCTAGCGCTTGCGCTCCGTTATTCTTTTATTCGAATGCCATTCGTACGACTTTTGTAAAAATACAGTAAATAATTTTAATTATCGAAAAATTATTTCAATATTTGTCATAATGAGAAATGAGAAAATTTTTTAAATCTGTCACTTATATTTAAATTTACTGTAAAAATAAATTTATCATGAATAAATAAAAATAAATGTTAGTTTAAAAATATTCAACTTTATTTTTAATAAAAATAAAATAAAGAATGAATAAAAATAAAATAAAGAATGAATAAAAATAATAATAAAATAAAGTATGAATAAAAATAATAATAAAATTAAGTAATAAATATTATTAACTTTACAGAAACCTTTAAAACATTGCCTGACAACAAAACTATTGTGGACGAGAGTAAAATAAATCACATTAAAATTGTGGAATGTATGATAGAGAAAAATGTTACAGACCTCTTGAAATTGACCCAAAAATTCGTAAGTATACAAAAAAAAACACTTTTGGGTAAAATTAAACAGTTTTTTTTGCTTTAATACAAAAGTTAACGATTTTATGCCTTGCTTTATAGAATTATCAAATAAAAATTAGAATAAAATTATTTTATTCTATTTTGGAAATGTTTATTAAATAATTGTATAGAGTGGAAAAATTTCTTAATGTTTCTAATTTGAAAACATATGTTTAATTTTTGTAGGCTATTTGGAAATATTCGCCAAATTGCATTTTTGGACCAACATCAGAGATCGACAGTGATGATGCTGTGGTGACAAAATCACCACGAAAAAGTATAAAAGATGGTGATTTTCATGATATCCCATGGATTATGGGAGTGACTCATGATGAAGGTTTAGGCATGGGTAATTATTTTTGTTTCTTGTTCTCAAAAAAAAAAAAAAAATAATTCTTTACATTTAATTTAATTTAGGTATTCAATTTTTTTTCCACTCATTAATTATAATGAGTGGAAAAAAAATTGAAGAATTCTACAAAAAATTTACAATTTTATTGATTGTTACAGCGCTTTTTTCTGACAAAGATATTAATGAATTGACTTCAAAGTTCCTCGATATTGCTCCACAAGTTTTGGAATATCAAGAAGTCGTCAAAGATAAAAAAAATTTCTCTTTAGCATTAGATAAATATTACTTTGAAAAAAATATTACAGAGGAAAATAAGAAAGTCAACTTGACTAATGTAAATAAGTATTTCACCTAAATATAAATGGTTATGTAATATTTACACACAATATGACAAGCAAGCAATAAATAAAATTCTAAAAGAAAATAATTAACTATTTGCAGATGATTGGTGACGCTGCAATCTATTGGCCAGTTTATGAAACATTACAAAAGCAGGGAAATAAATCAAATGTTTTTTTCTATCGTTTTGATTATGAAGGAACTTATTCAGTAATGGGACCGAAACCACGTCCAGCAGGTGAACCAAATATTCAATAAATAATATAATATTTAACAATAAAAATTTAATTAAATAACAATATTTTGTCAAGGAATATCATGTCAAATAAGATTTTGGGATCAATAAAATTAATTATTAAATATGTAAATCAATTTTTTAGAATAGTAATTAATTTATTATTATTATCATAAATATTATCATGATCATCATTATGATTAGCATTATTATAATTATATTAATTTTAATTTTCAGGTGTTGCTCACATGGACGATGTTCTATACTTGTTCCCCTTTTTGGAAAGAAATGCCAGTTTCATAAATGCAGGAGTAACTACAACCAGTGCTGATGATAAAGGAATGATTAAATTGATGACAGAAATATTTTCAAATTTTGCAAAAGAGGGGTAAGCAAAAATAAATATTTATTACTTGAATTAATACAAAAAAAAAATTGTTTCAGAACAATCGAATTTTTGTTGAATCAACCAAATAAAATGCATTGATATACAATTAAATATTTGTTTGATTCAACTAAAAATTTGTTTCTTTTGACAAAATTCTTTCCTCGAAGGCAAACTTTATTAAACTGAACCAAATGTTTATTTAAATCAAATAAATATTTATTTAGATTAAACAAACTTTATCTACAATAACAATAATATTTAGTATTTACACAACAAAAAAGAGTATTTGATTCGACAATATTTATTTTTGTGTGTGTATACCCAGAATTTTTTTTTTTTGATTCAGACCCAACCTTTTATTTATTTTAAATAAATTTCATTTCGTTGAAAGTTAAAATAAAAATTTTATGTGTTTCGAATAAAACTTTGATTTTCTTTGTGAAAATACATGTTCTGATGATAATCATCGATCCTTATAATGATTGAACTTTATATACATGTATATATTCGGTTTCATAAAGCAATCTATTAATGATTTATAGAAAGCCAATAAGTGCTCAGTCAATGGTAGAGTGGAAACCCTATAAAGATGGTGGCAAATTCATGAGGCTGATAAATGGAAATTCAACTGTAAATTCAATGGAAAATGATTTTCTAGTCAATAGAATGAAATTCTGGGAATCATTGTCAAGAAATTTAACTGAAGTCGTCGATGAAGATAAATCAAAAAATTCAGCATCATTCACAATGGAGAAAAATTCCGTTTTTCTCTGTTTATTAATTTTCCTCGGTTTATATTATATTTAAAATTACCCAGATAGATAAGAATGCATATTATAAAAAAAAAATTTTTTAATATATTCCAAAATTATATTTTAATTAGAAAATTTAATTTTATTAATTGTATTAATTTTATTAATTTTATAAAATATAAATTCAAAAATGTGAGAAGAACAAATTTTGCAGAAATAAGTTTTTCGAATTTAGTCTTTTTCTTTGTTGTCAACTTCTGTAAATTTTATTGAAATTTTTGTTAATTTAGAAGAATTTTTAATTTATAGATAAATATATATATATATATATTTTTTTTTGTTTCTTTGTCTTTATGATAGAAGACAAAAGTCTGCCAATTTAGTAATAAGAGAAAAAGTTATATTTGTTATATTGTACATTTTAATGTACAGACAATCATAATTGAGTTAAAAACAAATTCAAAGAATCGATACTCCAAGCAATTTTTTTTTTAACTGAATACAAAATAAATGCAATCGTACTTAGTGCCTATACTTAATATACAGAAAAACAATGTAAAAAAAATAATTAGTCGAAAATTACTAATTTGTTTAAAAAAAAACTATTAACTTTAATTAAAAATTAAAAATTCTACCTCTACTAAAGAAATTATTCAGTTTTCGAAAACTAATACTAATACTAGTTACTAATTATAATCTATACTAATTTTTTATACTATCTTTATCTTTATCTATATTGTTATCAAAATTAATAATTGCTGATAATTCTAATTAGTACTACAGCAGATTCGTAATTTTCGACTAATAATGAATCAACAGTAACTATTTTCTATAAACAACGAATTAAATTTAGAGAGAAAATTGTTCAGTTTAATAATTCAGTATTTTATATCAATAGAAGTATTTTTAATGATGAATTATTTAAAATTAAAAAAAGACCAGTGATTTCTTATGTAAAAAAAATAATAAAGCATAATGTAATATTTACAATAAAAAAGTTTACAAGTTTATTTACAAATAAAAGAAAATTATTCACTATCTAAATTTTTCTTCAATCATTCTTCAATTAAGGACGTTCATCCCAAAAAAATGCTAGCTTTAAAAAAATCAATTAAAATTTTATTTTTCATAGAATTTTCTAAAACAAACATTACTTTTCAAGAATCTAAAAAAAAACTTAGTAATATTTATCAAAAAAAAATTTTTTTTTCACAAAAGTAGTTCCGGAAGTCCCTAAAGATTTTATACAGTCACTTTTCTCATTCTTTTTTCACTCCCCCTCCCCTTCACCCCCTCGTATAACCTATCCAATTCTCCCGCAAAATGTATAATGGAGTCTGTTGAAAATTAAGTTTATCAGGTAGTGAATACTCAACTCGGCTTAATGTACCCAACTGTACGCACATGTGCGTATAAAATATGCAATCCCATTCCTTTCTCGCTTTTGGCAAAATTAATCACTGTTGCTCGAGTTTTGTGTCCATATTCTTTCTGCTTATTCACACATAGATATACCACTAGATATATAGAAAAAAGAGTTAGATTATAATTATTATTTAGTTTTTTTTTTATAATTAACTGTAATAATAACCTGATAATTCTGTCAGATATTTTTTCTCATGATTTTATAATAAAATAATACCTATAATTTTTCTTTTATTATTATTATTACTAATAGTTACAACAAACGAAATAAAAACGAAGTTTTTCTTTTTAAAGAAAAACAATTTAGTGCAAAATCCCCCCCCCCCCAACCTTCTTCTCTCGAAGCAAGGAAAACTCACCATTTCCCCACTAATTCCACAATTCAATAATTTTATTTCTCCCCCAAATATGAATGAAATAAACCATTTTCTTTTTTTTTTTTTTTGGTGCGCAATTCCTTTGGGAAATCGTGAAATAGGGTTTAGTTTGTGGCCGGCACATAACCCTCCCCCCCTCCATCACTTCCTACCGGAATCCAACTATTCCCGACGGTACGCGCGCAATAGATATACATATATATACATACGTTGGATTCGAACGTTGATTAACGATTTGCATAGACAAATAAGTTGGCTCTGATGAGGCGCGGCGTTCCGTGTGCGTATTTGCAGAGCAGTCGAATAATTGTTTTCGTCCCGGTTTCAAACACTCTCAATGCACATTTGACGGCACGCGTGTGCTTTTACGTGTGCCCTTTTAAGTTCCGACCAATTCAAGAGTTGAAAACGTTAAAATAAACAAATGCTCAACAATAAAAAAAAAAAAAAAACAGAAGAAAAAAAATAGTAAAAAAAAAATAAACATTAAAACGACCTTTCTCACACTATGGTTAGAGTAGTTTAATTGATGCCTTTTTTTCTTTTTGTATTCAAATTGTCCTGCATACAGGAATTCAGTGTACGATTTGGTACTGGAATTTTTCTTAGTTAAAAATAATTTGAGAATATTTAAAGTACTGAATATTTTTTTCCAGAAGAGTGTAAAATTAAATTGTATTTATCACCTCAGGGTCGAAAATAGGTACTTTTCTCCCTAGTTCCAAACTGTTAGTATTTCTTCTTCAGGGTTTCTACAAATTTCTCCATATAAAATTCCATGATTTTTCCATGATTTCCAGGTGATAAATAATAAAATTTTAATGACACATTAAAACAAAATTTTTGACAATTAATTAAACAGAAGATAAAGTTCGCTCAAAAAATAATTTTTCATCTTCTGCTGATTATCGGCTGTGGGTACTTTTTATGAATTGGGAATAAAATTAATTTTTATGACTCAGATATTAATTGGAATTGTTCTAGTAATAGTTTAGGAACAGTAAAAAATTTGTTGACCAACAATTGTTAGTAATAGAAGATAAAGTTCTCTCAAAAAATAATTTTTCATCTTCTGCTGATTATCGGCTGTGGTTACTTTTCATGAATTGTGAATAAAATAATTTTTTATGACCCAGATATTAACTGGAATTGTTCTTGTTATAAGTTAGGATCAGGAAATAATTTTATGACTAAGAATTGATAGTAAACAGAAGATCAGTTCGGTCAAAAAATAATTTTTCATCTTCTGCTGATTATCGGCTGAGGTTACTTTTTATGAATTGTGAATTAAATTAATTTTTATGACTCTGGTAATTATTCGAATTGTACAAGTAATAGTTTGGAGCCAGTAAAAGATTTTGCGACTAAGATTGATAGAAAACAGAAGATAAGTTCGGTCAAAAAGTAATTTTTCATCTTCTGCTGATTATCGGCTGTGGTTAATTTTTATGAATTGGGAATTAAATTAATTTTTATGACTCAGATATTAATTGGAATTTTTCTAGTAATAATTTGGGACCAGTAAAAATTTGTTGACTAACAATTATTAGTAACCAGAAAATAAGTGCGGCCAAAAAATAATTTTTCATCTTCTGCTGATTATCGGCTGTGGTTACTTTTTATAAATTGTCAATTAAATTAATTTTGATGACCCAGATATTAATTAGAATTTTTCTAGTAATAATTTGGGACCAGTAAAAATTTATTGACTAACAATTGTTAGTAATAGAAGATAAAGTTCTCTCAAAAAATAATTTTTCATCTTCTGCTGATTATCGGCCGTGGTTACTTTTTATAAAATTGGGAATAAAATTAATTTTTATGACTCAGATAATTATTGGAATTGTTCTAGCAATAGTTTGGGACCAGTAAAAAATTTTGTCACTAAGAATTGATAGTAAACAGAAGATAAGTTCGGTCAAAAAGTAATTTTTCATCTTCTGCTGATTATCGGCTGTGGTTACTTTTTATGAATTGTGATTAAAATTAATTTTTGTAACCTAGATATTAATTGGAATTGTTCTAGCAATAGTTTAGGACCAGTTAAAAATTTTGTGTCTAAGAATTGATAGAAAACAGAAGATAAGTTCGGTCAAAAAAAAAAGTTTCATCTTCTGCTGAAACGGACTTTTACGGACTTCAAGCAAAGTTACGGTCTTTAACGGATTTACGGACCTAGTTCGAGCTCTGCTAGAATCAAAATGGAGGCGCTAAACAAATATATTATTTTTAGATTAGATGCGAAAAATAGGATTTTTTTTCGATATTTGAAGATTTGAAGAGTAATAAATTTTCTTTCTTAATATAAGTCAAAAAATATATTTCCAAAACCAAATGGTTCTGATTATGTGTCGTTTCAAATTGTAGTGCTATTAGTAATGTCAAATTAGGTGTGTAATTACGTGCAACGATTTGAATGCATCAAATTACAATAATTGCATCGCACCAATCTATTGCACACAAAAAACTGAATCAATAATTCAATGAAAAAAAAAGAGAGAAAAAATATAAAGAACCATCTGGACGGGAAAAAAATTTCGTCATCTTGAATATGTTCTTTGAATGTGAAAATGTAAATCGAATACATCGATTACGTTAACTCATAGTCATAGGCAATATGCAGATTTATAAATATATTGTACATCACCTAGAGTTGTCACGTAGCAGGTTAGCAAGCTCAGTGGCAGGGTACGATGCTAATGCGAGGTATTGTTCGCAGCTGTAAAAATTGCCCCTCGTTATATGCTTTACAATAGAGGCCGACAGGGAATCCAGATATACTGGGGGCTTTGCCCATTCCACCCATTTTCAATGCATACAGTTACCGATTTACTGCAAAAACGATACTCTCCATTCGTCACATCTCATGAAACTAGTATTTTCAACAACTACACACATTCCCTCTCTTCATTGCGAGCGTTTCTATTCAGCGAACCGAATAGTTTGTCAAAGGGACATCTAATATTAATCTAATATCTCGAAATTATCGCATGGAATAGTGATTATTGTCGATGCTAGGTGCTCATTTTTCTCTTGCAACTGTGGAAAAAAAACAAGTTGATATATTAAATTTACCTCCACCCATTTTTGTCATGGTTATGATGATAAATTAAATTGTCAGAGGGAAGGCAATGTCCGACGAAATGTCGCTTGAAAAAAATCTTGAACATTTATTCCATTGAAACGTTCCCTCTGATCATTTAATTTACCAAAACCCAAAACCCTATTTTTCTTTCATTTAGTGAAAGTAAATTATTCTTTTTTTTTCTCATTCTTATCTGTTTCGAT